CGCCGCTGTCCCGGCCCCGCCGCTGTCCCGGCCCCGCCGGTGTCACAACCCCGCCGGTGTCCCGGCCCCGCCGCTGTCACAGCCCCGGGCCGCCCCCGCCGCCCCGCACTCACTCCGCCATCTTGCCGGGCTCGCGCTCCCACAGAGCCCCGCGCGCCGCCGCTTCCGGCGCTGGGGCGGGCACGTCCGGCCGCGGGCGCGTGCCACCGCCGCGTCACGTGACAGCCGGGCACGTCACGGTCCCCGCGTGCGCGCCGGGGCGGCGGGGGCTGGGGCGCCCCCTGTCGGTGGGGGCAGCGACTGCAGAGCCGCCATCACTCCTGTCCCCTCAGCCAACATCACTCCGGCCCCCTCAGCCAACATCACTCCTGTCCCCACAGCCACCATCACTCCTGTCCCCTCAGCCGCCATCACTCCTGTCCCCTCAGCCAACATCACTCCTGTCCCCTCAGACAACATCACTCCTGTCCCCTCAGCCAACATCACTCCTGTCCCCACAGCCACCACTGCTCCCTGTCCCCACAGCCACCATCACTGCTGTCCCCAGAGCCACCACTGAGGTGACAGTGGCACGGGCTTATTCGGGAGGTTGCTCTGGACTCCGGTGACACACACACCTCTGAAGTGTGCTGCAGTGTCACGCCAGGCCTGCTCTGCAGTGCCTGAAGGCAGCGAGTGGCTCCTGCCATCCAAACCATCCATGCTCACCTGCGGCTGTCAGAACCCTTCCCGCTGCTGAGCTGACCTGTGCCAGGGCACGGCTGCCCCATGGCTCACACTGCCCAGCCACAGCCTGGCCTTACAGCCACAACAAAGCACCACCTGAGTCCCACTCAGCTGAACCAGAAGGCCACTGCCTCAAAACCGGCATAAAAATGCACTCGAATGAAAATATAAGTGAGTAATTAATTAGTGATTTTATTCAGCAAATTAAAGTAAAGTTTAGACCAGTTTTATCTGGTCTAAGTTTAAATGCCCTCCTGGCCCAGGTTCCTGCTGGGGTTGGGTCTCTAAACTTTCCTGTGCATCCTGGAAAATGAGGCTAATTAGCACATTTCAGCTTACAAAGCCAGTTGAGGATATCCATCCATCCATCCATCCATCCATCCATCCCTCCATCCATCCATCCATCCATCCCTCCATCATCCATCCATCCATCCATCCATCCATCCCTCCATCCATCCATCCATCCATCCCTCCATCATCCATCCATCCATCCATCCATCCATCCCTCCATCCATCCATCCATCCATCCCTCCATCATCCATCCATCCATCCATCCATCCATCCCTCCATCCATCCATCCATCCATCCCTCCATCATCCATCCATCCATCCATCCATCCATCCCTCCATCCATCCATCCATCCATCCCTCCATCATCCATCCATCCATCCATCCATCCATCCCTCCATCCATCCATCCATCCATCCCTCCATCATCCATCCATCCATCCATCCATCCATCCCTCCATCCATCCATCCATCCATCCCTCCATCATCCATCCATCCATCCATCCATCCATCCCTCCATCCATCCATCCATCCATCCCTCCATCATCCATCCATCCATCCATCCATCCATCCCTCCATCCATCCATCCATCCATCCCTCCATCATCCATCCATCCATCCATCCATCCATCCCTCCATCCATCCATCCATCCATCCCTCCATCATCCATCCATCCATCCATCCATCCATCCCTCCATCCATCCATCCATCCATCCCTCCATCATCCATCCATCCATCCATCCATCCATCCCTCCATCCATCCATCCATCCATCCCTCCATCATCCATCCATCCATCCATCCATCCATCCCTCCATCCATCCATCCATCCATCCCTCCATCATCCATCCATCCATCCATCCATCCATCCCTCCATCCATCCATCCATCCATCCCTCCATCATCCATCCATCCATCCATCCATCCATCCCTCCATCCATCCATCCATCCATCCATCATCCATCATCCATCTATCATCCATCCATCCAGTGCAAGTTTGAGATTCTGGGCTGACAGGCACGTGGGACAGTGTGTAACAGCATCACATGCATTTCTGTTCATTTCTGGTTTGACTAGCTCAGCAAATAAAAGGGGAGTTGTACAAACACACTTATTGATTTGAATATCTCAGATTGTTTTAACGGCACTCTGAAATGCCAGCTGTGAACTTAATCAAATGAAATTTCAGATTTATGACACAGACACCGATACTCATTTACATAAAAGTGAAAGCCATCTGAATAGGTATGAACATGCCTCAATTTTAAAAACCAGTGACTAGGACAGCAGCTGTTTTTCTGCGGCAGGGCAGAGCTGGAGAACGTCTGTTTTCATGTTGACAGACTGAACCTACACCTCCTTTGCTCATCTGATGTGGTTTTGTGGTGACCTACTTAGATAGTCTTACCACAGTTATGACCAAGGGTTTTTTCCACACTGGCTAATTTCCGACAATCTGCAGTTTGCTATTCCCCATCTGCTTTAACTCATTCTCTGCATCCCAGTAGCATTTGGGACAGAATGCATGGCTTGAGCTGAGGCACAGCTCATGGGGTGACCCAGAGCTCGCAGGTGAAAAATGAGTGAAAATGAGTGAAAAATGAGACTGGCACTTTGCAAAGTGGTGCAAGCTGAAGTCCAGAGTGATGTGCACATCTTCCTCCACTTGGAAAAGGCAGGACTGCAGGCCTCCAATACATCAGAAACTCAGGCACTTCTGCTTTTTGATCTCAGTTTTCATGATATACTGGAGCAGAGATTTTTGAACAACACTTCATCCATAAATAACAAAGCTTGATCCAGAGTGAGATGCACTTAAACTGATGAAACACAGGAAATTTCCTTGTGAATACTGCCTTCCTTTTTTCTGTGAAAACTAAAATTCAGAGTTTGCCAAGGATGGCTGGAAGTAGCTGGTCATTAAAAGGTGAATCATCAGTGTTTCCCTTGAGAATGCCTCTAAGAAGAAACCAGTCTTCTGCAAACTTGCATGTTTTTAGGTCACAATAACTTTTGGAGTTTTTCTTTGTTTTTCTGGGAAGCACAGTGAAAAAGACAGAAGTTATATTGAAAGGGATTGAGGGAGAGTGGGTGGGATTATGGCAGAGAAGGACAGTGGGGGCCATGTGCCTCTCTCCCCCATGTAGCACGGCTCGTGTTCTGGGTCACAGGACAGGAAGAAGCAGCCCAGTCATCTTTAGCAGGTCCTTATCCTGTCCTCCTAGAAATCAGAGAAAAATATCATTCAAAGCACCTCTGGAGAGCTCCAGTCCATCCTCTGTTCGCAGCAAGTCCAGCTTCACGGTCAGAGGAGGTTGCTCAGGGTCTTGTCCAGAGAAATTTTGAAAATCTCTAAGGATGAAACATCCTGGCTCCATGGATGGGGCATGGATGGAGCTGCTCAGGGAGACCTGTCCTCATGCTGCACCACTCTCAGGGTGAAGAACTCTTTCTGTTGTGCAGCTGGAAGTCCCCTTGTTGCACTTCATAGCTGGTGCCATGGCAGGCATCTGCTCCTCCCCCCTTACTGCTGTGCCCACACTGATCTGAGGCAGGAGTAACTGTGTCCATTCTTGGTGGTTTAAAATCCAGTCAGACAGTGGTGGAAGAACCATGGCAGCTGTGCTGTCCAGGGAAAAGGGCATGGCTGGAGTCCTGGCTGATCTTCACCAGTGGCAAAGGGCTCCTGCCTTTGTCACCAGAGCAATGTTCAGTGCTCTACCGGGCTGGCGGAGAACAAGGAAAATCTTAAAACTCTCTTTCTTAGTCACTTGAGTTGTGTTTGGCATAATGAGCAGGTCATCTGCCCTAAGAAAGATGGCCAGAAATTGTACTGGTTTGCTTTTTCTTTGCTATTTCTTTGCTTTTGTTTTTTTTGGGGGGTTTTTTTGGTTTTGGCCTTGGCTTCAGCCTCATTTTTTTGGGTTGTTTTTGTTTCTTGAATCTTTTAACTGGTGTTGAAAGCTCCACACTTGTTTTGTTTTACTGGCCTTTTAGCTGTCATGTGCTTTTAATCATGAGGGACTGGTGCAGAAAAGGGATGAGTACAGATGTAACTCTTCAGGATGTGACTGACCTTGTCCTCACTGTGCCTGCTGGCTCTGGCCAAAGGAAAGCCACAGATGGGGTTTGGGAGCCATGGGAAGGATTCAGGAAGGGATGTGGAAGGGAGAAGATTTAGCCAGGAAAGTAGAGGCCTGGCAACATAAACACAAATGCAGGACTGAACCTCACAAAGGCCAGGATCTGAAGGGAAGGGAAAAAAAAAAACAGGAAAAGGGAAAAAGGTAGATGGAGAACAAGGGCCCCAGGGAGCCCTGCCCTGCTGGAGGGGGGAGCATCAGAGCAGTTGAAGGCAACAGGGGCTGCTGGGTCAGGCTGATGTGTGAGAATAGGAAATTGCAGTGACCAGCACGGAGCAGTTGGTGAGCTACTCTGAGCTGTCTTCTTTCCACTGAGTTGCTGCACACACACGCTCAGCACAGCACACTCTGGGTGAAGCAACCACAGGTGATACCAAATTATAACGTCCCAAATGTTCTGTGCGAAGAGATGGTGATTTTCATGTCTCATCACTGACTCATCAGCAGGAAATAGCACTGCTTGTTTGACCTGCTGTTGCCAGTGAGAAGGGGCCAGTCCATGTTACTGCCACTGAGGTAACCAAGCCAAGCACCACGGTGCGCTTGGTGTTTCAAGGACTTGGTCACAAGGAAAGTAACAATTTGGCAGGAGGCTGTTCAGGCTGCTTCTCACTTGTGGTTTTCTGATGCACAGCTACTGAGCATCTGTTGATTAATGCATGCACTGGATGTTGCTTTTAATAGATCACAGGAATTTCACAGTTGTTTAAGCTCATCCAAGATGATGTGGCTGTAGGTAACACAGTGTTTAGTTTTAATTCTTAAATTATGCAGAGCAGCCTAAATAGATAGCTGTGTAGAACACTGAGGGCAGGCACAGATGCCTTAGTGACCGGCTGTAACCTTGTGCTGGAAGTGTTGGGGAAGGTGATAATTTACAGCCCAGGACTTTGTCCTTACTTAGGAGTGGAGTCTGTCAGCTCTAAAGACTAAGGGCATGCAAGATTTACTCTAGGGAGTTGGTTTAGCTCTTATGACAGTCCTTGGCCTTGAAGACGTGGGTTTGCCTTTTA